GACGGGGGCGGCGGCCGGAGCGCTGCGGTGCGGGACGGGGCGGGGGGCGCTGAACCGGGGCAGCCGGGCTGGGGCTGTGTCCTTCTTGTCAGAAGAAAGAAACGCCGACCCCGCCAGCCTGCTGCAGAAGGAACCACTGCCCGGCCGTCACAGCAGCAAGAAGCAGGCCGATCCTTCCTTCAAAACAAGGACGAAACCGCCCTCTGACGTGTAGGGTCCCTCCGGCCGCGGATGCCGTTAGCAGGATTGTCGGGGTCTTCTGCTCTTCTTGCCTTTGTGGTGGCGTTGCGAGTTCCAGTAGAAATACTCCCCGTAGCTGGCCGACGCGGTGGAAAGCGGTGTGTTTCCGTTGGCAGGGGCCTGTCGTAGCTGTTGCTTTGCAGCATCTTTCTAGTTTGGAGGGACTGGAATGTTCTCCAGAGGTTCCGCTTACACATTTCATACACATGCTGAAATCACACTGTGTGTGGTTTACAGCAGTATATGTTGCTTTCCATAATCGCCTCTTCTAGCGTGAGCTATAGGGTCTCGGGTAGCGCAGCGTCTGCTGACTGCGGCTGAAGACCACTGTTGTAGTTTAGTTAAGGACTTTTCTGGGTCATATGCTAGACGTCAGTGAAAGGAATTCCATGTTAGCCTGGTTTCCATTTCACCATCAATGTAAAGCCCTAAGCATAAGCTTAAGTCAGCATGCACTGTCATTAGTCAAATGAGAAATTGCATCTTTTTCATCTAGTGAGGATATGTATAAGCTGGTCTGTGAGGAAGCTAGAACTCAAACTACAAATATTTGGTTTGAACTGCACAGCAGGAAATGTGTTATTGGTGTCAGTTAAAATAAGAAGCCCTTTAAGGGTTTGCTTGTGTTACAGAGGGATTCTGCCTGTAAGTTGGCTAAGGGTGAGACGTAGTAGTACTGCACCCCATTGTAGGTTTTAGATTTGGATGGTGGCAGATGTCAGAAAACCTCTGACAAGGAGGGCAGGATGGTCTCTCTTTGCTTGAATGAGGTCCTAATCAGAGTGACGTTGCTGGTGTTTCTAGAAGACAGTGTGCTTTATCTTGTAATTTTAACTGCTCTGGGCAGTCATAGAGTAGACAGCTGTAAAGTTGGAACAGACCAAAATGACACTATCTGTTAGTGGTGTAGATGAACTATATTGGACCTTTATTCAGTGTGGAGCATCCTGTGCTTTTTTTGATCATGGAGACAGAATCTGTCTTGCTTCTTCACTGCCATTGCCTTTGGTAGGGTGTCCAGTGTGGCAGTAACGTAAATCACACTTGGGCTTGGATATGGAGTATTTTTGTGGATGTACCCTGGGTGATCAGAATGAATGCTGGACTTGTTATGGGGGGAGCAAAATTACAGGAGATAAAGACCTGGAGGAGGCCTTTATCTGGTGGATGGTAAATCAAATATGAGTGAGGATGGCTATCTATGTTTTGGGCTACTTTAGCAAGGCCATAGCTGTAGATCGAGGAAGTATTCATTACCCTCTTTTCAGCACTTTTGAGACCTCAAGTCCAGTTTAGAGCCTCACAAGAAAGATGCTGACGAACTGGAAGGGGTGCAGATGAGGGCCGCCGACATTGTTAGGTGGCTGGAGCACATGGTGTCTGTGGAGAGGTGGAGGGAGCTGTGTGTGTTTAGCCTGAAGAAGAGAGGGCTTAAAGGGAATCTTACTGCTGCTCTTAATGAGTGGTTACAGAGAGGGGGGGGGAGTTAAGCTCTTTTCAGCAAAGGGACGGGAGGCAACAGGCACAAATTGCAGTAAGGGGAATTCTAACTAGAATAAGGAAAATCACTTTCACCATGAGGGTGGTCAAGCACTGGATTAGGGTCCCAGAGAAGCAGTGGGATCTCCATCCCTGGAAGTATTACAAACTGGGCTGGACATGGCCCTGAGCAACCTGATCTAACTTCTTAGTTAGCAAGAGGTTGGACAAGTGCTGTTCAATGAGCCTTTCCAATGTAAATTATTCTATGATTCTCTTCAAGATGAGGAAACAGTGTTGTTCAGAGTTGACTGTCTGTAATGGAAGGCAGTACTTTAGATGTTACCTCTGTGGTTGGCAGCAAAGATGTCGGATTTTAATTTGTGTTACAGGTTAGTGCACAGATATGCAAGTAAACTTATAAAACTGCGATGATTGCATTTAAGGTATTGCATCTAACATTACAGGCAAAAGGACAAGTAATATTTTGCAAGGCTGACATGTGGACAGGACTTTAAATTTACTTGGTGAGGATTTTGTGTTTGGAGAAAGCCATAGAGAATTAAAAATATAATAGGCAGGAGAGTATAATTTAAGTAATCTTTAAAGCTGTATAATCACCTCTGAGTTTTGAAAAATGTTTCTGTGCCATAACCCATGCTCCATATTGTTCTCTAGCTAGTAGGTGGAACCACTGGAGAAGTCCAGGCATAACAATCTGATGAATATTGTGGTGTTGAATGCTACTCCTAAATGTTGCTTGGTCTCACAAGTCATGTTTCTTGTACTTGCTCTGGGTGTTTGCTGCCTGACAGGTTCTGAAGTTCGGCGCTGGCAACTGGAATGAGAAGGAGCTTTCTCTTGCTTTTCCACATGCTCGCTCTCTCCTGTCCTTTCCCCTAACTCCCCTCCTAACACATGTGCATGAAATCAGTGAAGTGCATGTCACTAATGCTACGTGCTTATACATCGCTGAAGATGCTGCTCATCACATTGTCCTCAAGAACATGCTGAGGAGCAAAATGTTGTAAGCCTGAATTAGTGGAACAAGCATGGATTATGGGAGCAAAGCCCTTGTCATGAGATCAGCTTTCTTCTCATTAATAGGAGTTATCTTGAGCAATGTGGTTAGAGGCCAATTTCAAAACAGAAGGAAAAGGAACATCCTTGGTCTATCAGAACGGGAGGAAAAATTGAGACCGGGAAATAAGTGAGATGAGTTCTGCTCTAGTACATGTTTCAACATCTCATAGCAAATGTGGAGCAAAACTGATCTGCTTTGTAGTTTTTGTTGTCATTGGGGTTATGATAGTATTAGCAAAATTATCTTCTGAATTTCAGTCACTTGTTGCTTGCAAAAACAGAGCAAGAGTGAAGGAGTAATAGATACGTGTCTATCTAGGCATAGTAACTTTGCAGTCATTCATGATGTAAGTCACATTTTAATACAAAACCAAAACCCAACCACCCCAACCTTAGATTCTTTTAGAAATTGTTGCTCTTAATCTGTTTCCCTCTACAAGCCTACATTACAGTTGCAAAATGTTTATCTTCTTGGTCCTGAGTAACAGTTAATTCAAGTCTTGACCAAAACTTTTCTAGATTAGGATAACTTTTTTTCCCCAAGGTATTATTTATGTTGTTCTAGAACTGTAGCTAAGATAGCCAAGTGTACGGGTTGTCTCATGTTTGTAAGATGAAACGAATAGCAAGTTTCCCCTAAATAGTACAAAGCTAAGAAAAAAGTGTTGCTCCAGAATTATAGAAAACCTGAAATATCAGCCCAGAGAGGTGTAGCCCTGAAACTTCTTAGGAGCTGGCATTGGAGAAGATTGATTCTTACACATAGACACAGTAAAGCCAGAGCAGTTAAAACTTCTAGAGGACTTTTTGTGATCTTTTTCTCCTTGTCCTTTCTGCAGCCTGTCTGTGTCCCTCTGGGACTTTGCGTTTCACTATCTGTAAATTTCCAGATATAGTTAAGTTCTCTACAAGAGTGACACTTGCTTATTAGAGACCATCATCTTCCTGAGTCATTGTATGCTTGTGGACAGTGGAAGTGTTCAGCAGGTTTTTTTATAGCACTGGGTTTCAGATTGTGCTGTTTCCTGTTGTAGTAAGTGCTTGGGAGAAGGTTTTGAGTGTATTGTGTAGAACAATAAATTACACTAATCAATACAGCTTTCTGAAAACCAAAAATACAGTATAAATTGGTATTGGTAACAATACAAATGTTCTGGATCCACGTAAGTTGAACGGTTTTTAATGAGATAAAATCTTAGCCTGAGATTAAGCAGTTGCACTATCTCTGTCAATTAGAATTGCCATCATTTCCACTCCACAAAAGGAAAGGACTGAAAAAAAAAAAAAATCAAGTAAAGGTTTTGCTGTATGAACCATTATGTTTCTAATAGGTGCTGCTGGGATGTGGGATAAATGGTGTATGAGTAAATGTGTCAGAGAGGTTTTTTGTGTGATTAAACAGTATAGGCAGGTCTATCTTTTTTGAGGATTTATTCATCTGCCTCTTTTTTTTTTTTTTTTTTTTTTTTTAAATTAAACAGGAGATGATAGGTGGAAATGAGTCCTGTACTGCAGGACCGATTCCTATGTCCTACTTAACCTGCCTGATTTACATTCTGGGAGAATGGACTGGCGTGGAGCATATTGAAGATTATCTGAGTTATGCAGTCTACCTTTCATGGGTGCTTTTTCCACTCGCAGTAGTTTTACTACTTCCGGGGGTTCTCATCATCCTCTTCTACACTTCCATTCTCCTTCTTCATATTTATAAAAGGAAGAATGAACTAAAGGAAGCTTATTCCAATGATTTTTGGGGTGGTGCAAAACAGATGTTGGCTACCCTATGGGATGGACATGGAAGAATATGGCATGGTAAGCAAGATCTGACTTTTCATTAAAAACTGCTGAAGCTCTTATTCCTGGTTTACCTTTCAGGATTATCAATATCAATATATATCTGATTGTTGCTGCTGTTGCATGAAATCTAAAATTCAGGCCAATTTTTTTTTTTTCCATTTTATCAATGACTGCCAGTGGTGCTTGGGAGAAAAAAAAAAAAGCCATTGAGACTTTTTTGGACGTAGAATTTTTTGTCTTATGCATTTATTCCTTTGCTGCTACAAAATAAGATCTTTCATCCAGTTGAACATATAAGCAGTTTTTAAAAATGGTTTAATTTTTTTTCTTTTTTACTTTTTATAACTACTCCTGGATTTCCTCATTCCAGGAGGACATGAAATGTTTGCTATGTTAAAAACTAGATCAATTAACTATATTTAAATGCCAGTTCCCTGACAGCTAGTATGTCAGCACGTTAGCATAATTTAATTGTACTTAACCAGTCTTTTACATACAACGCCAAATGATGGCTTAAAGGAGCACTTAGTGTCAGTTCGCTCACTAGTTGCTTCAAATTGACTTTAGAGCCCCAAACTGTTACAGAACCTTAATTTTTTTATTTTTTGTCTATGTATTTGACAATTGCGTTCTCTACTAGAATGTCAAAACTAAGGGCTCTATTCCTTGTCCTTCTACTGTTATTTCTTTTGTAAAGACATACTTAATAAATGATTTGGCTTTTCTTTCTAAGGAAATCATAAGCCTCTTTCAGAACCATTCAGTCTAGATGCAGCCAAAGGAGAAAGAGATGTTTAAGAGCAATTTACATGAAGAACAAATCCTTCTTGAAAATCATCTCTATTTGTTCTCTAGTCAAAGGGAAGCGGGTTTTCAGGGCATTGATAACCAGATGGTGCAGCGGCTGTATCAGATAGGCTTTGTAAGACTAAGATGTAACTTTCAAATCTAGGAAAGTACACTAGATCAAAATCAACAGCTACATCAAAGAGCTTAAAATGCTCACTTCACAATAAAAAGCTATTTACTTTTTTTCATAAGAAAATTATTTTTTTAAGGCTTTGGCTCTTTTCATCCTTAGTAACTTTTTCTTTTTATAAGGTCTAACTTTTTATTTGCCCAGGCAAGATTCTTATCCAGTCCCTTACTGACAGTGGTGACTTTTTTCTGCCCTGGCAGCTGCTTCCATGTTCTCTATACACTTCTCTTGCTAAAGAATGAAATGTTTTGCAATTGTATTTTTCCCCTGCTTGATTAATCAATGTATCATAGGAAGAACTTTTCATCCTGAAATCTCACAGCATCGGGACCACCCCCCCCATCCCCCCCAAACAACCCCACAACCAAAAAGCCCCAAACCCCAAACTGGTATGTGATACCTGGAACTTTACATATATTATGCAAATGCTAGATGTAGGTATCATTCTGATTATGATTGGCAGGCATAGAGCACAGTTAGTGGTACACTTGGTACAGATGATATGCTTGCAATATGTTGCAGCTCTACAGGTATAGAAAGTAAAATAGAGGGAGAAGAGTCAAGAGTACCTTCAGAATTAAAAAAACCCAAAAAACCAAAACCCAGTGGAATGGGAATTGCAGACCTGATTAACTTTGGAAGAAGTGACAGGGTTTGGGGCTTTTTTGTTGTTGTTGTTGGGGGGGGGGGGTTTGTTTGTTTTTTTTTTTTTTTTTTAAAAAAAAAACAAAGACAAGATACTGTAACAATACTTCTCAATATTAACTGAATATGTTCTATACTGATGCATTTTGATATTTTGTGTTAACTGAATATATTCTGCACTTAATTAGAAATGTAAGTTCAGTAAGAAACTTGTGTGTGTTTATGTATGTTTCAATTAAGCGTATAAAGCCCCAATTAGCTTTTAGTACTTAGTGACAGAAAAATGGAGCAAGTATAATTCTGAGAGAAGTAACAAAGATAAGCTTCATACTCTGGAGTAAAAGGTGACATGTAAATGGATGTTGTCATGTCAAATCTTCTTAAACAGTTACTGGTGGCAATGAACTTCATTTAAATAGTAGCCTGAAATAGTTGTGTTTTACCACTCCAATCCTTATTTTGATTTCTCTTGAATGGTTGGATTAAGAGGACTCTGCAGCCTTGAAGACAGTGAACTGAAAAAGTAAGGAAAAATTATACAGTTCAAGACAGTGAGGCTGGGTGTTTTGTTTTCAGTTTTTTTTTGTTGTTGTTCTTTCTTTAAATGTGGCTCTTCTGCTTTAAATTAAACTTGTATTTCCTGTGAAAGCAACTTAGTAAATGCTGCAAGTAATCTCTTGACTTTTTAGCAGTCACTTGGCTCTTAGCACTACTTAATAGCTATTGGTTTCAGTTTGCCAACGTGCCGGAGTTTCTTTGGGATAGAATTGTGTCAGACTTTGACATCTGTTATGCTTTAACACCTAACAGGTTATGAGCTTCATGGTGCCGAAAATATTCCTGAAGGACCAGGGCTTATTGTGTTCTATCATGGAGCTACTCCTGCTGACTGTATCTATTTCATGGCTAGACTTCTTATACAAAAGAAGAGATACTGCCACATAGTAGCTGATCATTTCGTCTTTAGATTACCAGGTAACATACTTCATTGTCAACAATTGGTTTAAGAACTCTAATTTATTTTTTATTTTTTTATGGTGTAGTTAATAAAAATTGTGCCACAGGAACACAGCTCTCAGAACAGACATTCAGACAAATTTAGTGAAAGTGCTGAGGTACAGCTGTCTCTAACGCGTTCTTTACAAACAAGAATGAGTTTATGAGACTGGCCCATGCAATAACCTGATGAAATAAACTGTTTGGAAGCAATGCTCTTAAAGTTGATAGTATTAATCTGGGGAGATGGATGTATTTTCGTATCCCACTCAGTTGAGAGTATGGAGGGCAGTGGAACCTGTCCCCAAGAAGACTGTTCCAAGTAGAATCTTTTTTGGAGGAAAGCTGTAGAAGTGTCCAACAAGTTTGTGTGAAACATGAGGTGAAGCGTGAAGAAAATGAAAAATATGTTTAGGGCAAGATTTTGGCTGGACAGCCTAGTGAAAAACACTGCTGATGGGTGAAACTAATTACGTGAGGGGTTTGGGTTTTGTGTGTGTGAAATACAGTAGTACCCAGTTCTTTTCCCAAGTTCAGTTTGTGACTAAAAATCTTTTAATTCTTTTTGTGAATTTACAGGAGTGTTCTGTAGTGTACTGATGTTTCTAGTGGAAACAACTCATATCAGAAAACTGTCCTTTTGTCAGTATAGTTTTACTTCAGACTTAATCCCTGAAAGCTGAACTTTTTTCATACTGGTAACAGCATGGCTTTGCCTCTACAACTGCTTTTGCCAACAGGCTAGGATTTGTCAGTTGATTATCAAATCTTTTGCATACAGCTGACTAACGTAACCTGTTTTGTAATTTAGATTTGGCTCCATATTGTCTGTATTATATCAATACTTACGCACAGTTGTTTATCAAGTGGGAGAGAATGTTGTTTTTCTTCATTTCTGCTTTAAAATAAGGTTCTAAGTGTGAGCATACTTTTGAGTCCCCCAAATATCATTTAGTAGCATCACAGAGACATCTGGCTGAATGGCTGGTCTTGAAGAATCGGGTTCAGCAGTATACCATCTAGCTAACAGCTGTTTTCTAAAGGCATTCCTCAGGGACTGATACTGGAACCAGCGCTGCTTAATGTTTTTATTTCACACCTGGGTGAGGGGTTAGAGCGTGCTTGCAGGAAGTTCATTGTTGATACCAAACTGGGGAAGCAGTCAACACACTGGAGGTTAGAGGTGGTATTCAGAGTGCCTTCACAGAAATGAACTGGCAGAAACATTACAAAGTTCAGCAAAAGCAAATATGAAGTTGTGCATCTGGGGCAGAGCAATCCCATGTGGCAGTACCCTGGGCAGAAGGTGGCTTTGCAGGAAAGGACTTTGGCATTGTAGTGGACAACAAGGTGAACCTGAGTCAGCAGCGTGCCCTTGCAGCAAAGATGAACTGCACACTGAGCTTTTTTTTAGCAGGAGTGTGGCCAGCAGGCTGAGTGAAGAGGTTTTTTCCCTTGGCTTGGCACCTGTGCAAGCACGTCTCGCAATATGGTGTCCTGTTTTGGACTCCCCAGTACAAGACAGATGTTGACACACTAGAGCATGTTCAGTGGATGATGGGGGGCTGGAGCACACAATGTATGAGGAGAGGCTGAGAACTGGGTTTTTTTGGCCTGTACCAGATAAAGATGGGGGAAGATATTATCGCTGTCTTCAGCAACCTAACGGGAGGGTGCAGGGAAGAGGGAGTCAGACTCTTCTGACAGGTGCATAGTGATAGAATGAGAAGCAACAGAGAAGTTGCAACACAGGAAATTTTTATTAGATGTGTGGGAAGGTATTTTACCACCTGAACAGATTGCCTAGACAAGTTGGGGAATCTCCATCCCCGGAGACTTTCAAAACTCTGCTGGGTGAGGCCCTGAGCAGCCTGATCTAGTTGGACCCGCTTTGAGTGGGAGGTTGGACTAGTTGACCTTCAGAGGTCCCTTCCAACCTACATAATTCTTTGGTTCTGTGAGTGAATTAAGACTGTTCAGGGAAGATGAGCCCAAAGAGCCCAGGTAATGTTCTGGACTGTGTCTCAAAATCTGCAGAATAATCTATGACTGGCAACTCAGATAGATGGTGCTTCTCTTGTGAATCAAACCAGAAAGACTGCCATAATTTTATCCTAGTACTAAGACTGCCTGATCTTGATTAAGTCTTCAGATTAAATTGGATGCCTTTTCAGAAGATGTTTTAGTTAACCAAAAGTTATTATGCTCAATGCAGGAGAAATGGGGGACGTGGGATAGGGGGTGCATTTGGAGAGTCTGTAGGCTGTTAGACACACTTGGATTAGCTGGTTTAATGACCCTTCTTTTTTTATGATTATTGAATCTACTATGAATAGCTGTGAGGAATGGCTTGTCCCATGAATCTGAATCTTGGGTCCATGCCAGTATGCAATTGCCAGTTTGCAGTCTCATTGCATCCTCTGCATTGGGCACTGCTGTCCTGAATTAACTGCAATTAACTGGAGTGTGTTTGTAAAATGTTGCTCTGCCTCCTAGGGGGTGCATGAACCTGCAAGGTGTCAAACATGCCTCTCCCTACTGCTTAGTCTTGAAAGATACAGCTTGATAACTTGTGGAAGGGAATATAACCTAATAGGAGACTTCCTATAGATACCTGGAGATTCCTATTGAACATTGCGTAATGCGTCTTTCTTTCACATCGATGCAAAAGGAAACTATTAATTGTCTCAATTTATGCTGTATCAGTACTATGTATGCTTCTGTTGCTTGCGTTTTGGGGCAGAAGGATATGAAATATGGTCCTGTTTTCCTTTTAAATACTGGAGGTTAGTCACAGAAAAAAAATATTCCAATGGTTTCTGGTTCTTGTAGATTCTCAGCTGTGTAATGCTCAGGAATACATTGATTTCTCTGAAGTTGAGTTAAGAGAAAATCTTTTTCCAAAGAGTGCAGTGAAGACAGAGATGTCACTTGTGTTCTTCTCTATCACCCTCTCCTATAGTATGGGCCATGTCTGCTTCCTAGAGTCATCTGGGAGCCCTCTTTAAAAGGTTGCCTGCTATTTTAGGGATCTGAGACAGTCCCTCTCCTGTAATGTCCCAGAGGAAAGGAGCTGTGGCTTCTTGTCTGTTACATACACAAGGTGTTGCAAAGTGTCTTGTGGACTAGATGTTCTGCAGATACACAGGCGTGGTTACCTACAATTGTGGATGGTTGGATTCAGTGGCCTAAATGATTCCTCTCTGTCTGTGGTCCTAAGGGTCAACCATAGAAAAATGATGACATCTTTGCCATTTTTCTACCAGGTAGCTGACAGTCCCTATGTTACAGTCACTGGGGCTAAGTTAGAGAAATTTATATAGCGCACTTATTGGGATGAGTGTTAAATGCATTACTGGGTACTATCCAAAGGGTTTTCAAACATTGGTGGAGACACAGTGTTGTGGAAAACAGGAGAAGGGTGTGCTGGGGCAATGGGCAGAGTCCAGGTTGAACTGCAGAATAAAATTAATTTTGGACTTCTTGGTATTTGGAAAAATTAGCATCCCTTCATGCTCTGGAAGGCTGAAAGACTGTGTTTAGATAATTTTGAGAGTTGTTTTGTTGTTTAAAGTGGAAAAAGAGATTCTCGGTCACCTTCATGCAACAGCCGGTTACTATGCCAGTGTTTCTTCTGACTCCATGATGACCTTTACCTTCGGCACAGAGTACCCTAGCTGTCCCTTCAGGGCCACTGCACTAGTTCCTGTCTCTCTGCTGCTCTAACAGAGCCAGGTTCTTCCTCTTTGCTACTGGAGCAGAGATGTTGATAGTAATGTATGATCTGCTGGCTAGGCTATGAGGTACAGCTCAGAATATGAGGTTTATACTAAATGTCAAGGGGGGAAATACGGCTGAGAAATTTTATGAAGACTTGAAACCCCACCCCACCACTATTCTGTATTACAAATTTTTGCCTGTATTCTGCCCATATTCTGTTCTTGGTTTTTTCTGACCTATGAACTAGACAGACTCATGGTCTTGCTCTATCACAGCCCCCTCCCCTCCCCCCCTTCCCCAGCATGTCCAATGCAGAAGGGAAAACTGTCTTCACAGCTTCTGCTTCCTTGGAGTCTCTTTTCATGCTCAGCTCAACACTTCTCATTACTGTTTCATCTCTCTCCTGAATTCACTGACAGAAGGGGCTTAGACACAGGCAGCTTTCTAGCACCAGGTACATTCTGGAGAGCTTTAATTAGTTTGGGAATGTAAAACATTGTAAAAAACCAGCTGTTTAAGATCCCACAAACAAAGCAGCCGAGAGAAATTAAATTACTTCAGGAAAACTCTATTTCACATGTCTTCTGTGCAAATGCTCCTAGATGAAGACTGCTAGTGCCATCAGCAGTGTGCAAGGCAGGCACAGCAGAATATGAGACAGGTGTAATAGAGTTTGTGTTCTGTTGTCATGTTTATGGACAGATCCCAGTTGTGTGTAGATATAAATCAGTAATTATACTCACACCAACTACAAAGACTGGTTAGAGATCAGAATTTAGTTAAGAATAAACTAATGATATGCTGCCTCATGCTTTCCTTCCCAAGCCCTTAGTTTATGCGGTCTGTAAGAGAAGACAGCTCTGTCTTCTTAACTATATTTGGACTCTTTCTCAGTGAGTCTGTATGTAATAAATGTATGCTCATAGTAACAACTATTCATTTGTTAACCTGAGGTTAAAAAATGAAGATCTGTTATTGAGGGGCAAACTCTACTAGGTTGGTTCTGTGTCCTTGTCTATGGCTGATAAGGTTGTTTGCCTCAGTGGGAAGCTTGAAGAAAGAGAAGTAATCTTTCCCATACTGCTCGGTTATCTAAAGTTCCCATTTTGGTATGCAGTACTCATAAATACTGTATAAATTAAAAATTTATTGAACCAAGTGAACATGATTGATTTCCAGCAAACGGAGGTTTATGCTAGTTATGTTCTTTCACATTAGACTAGCTGTCTAAATTGGTGAAGCCAGTGCCCATTTGATGCTTGTAAGCAAATTTTTGATGTTCTGCTGTTTCTTGAAGAGTAGGGTCAGTATGACATTTCAAATTCAAGATGATATGAGGCGTTTATGTAACTTTACAGTTGAACACTTCAGTAAATGAAAAATCTTAACTTAAGACGAATATACCCAACCCAGGCTTGCCAGATGCCTTTTTGTGTGAAAGGCCATCCGAGTACTCACAGACTGAACCAGGGAGTCAATTCCTGCAGTGATCTGCAACGCAGAGAATGCTGCATTTTCTTTGTCATTCCCCTTCTTGTGCACAGACTGCTCTTTGTTTGCCAAAGTTAACAAAACAAAAAAAACACAATAATTTGCTGGTATTTTCTTTTGTTGCATTTTATTAGGACTGTGCTACGTTTGAAAAGTAGAGCTTGGGCAAGGAACCAGTGCCCTGGAGCTGACTTGACAACTCCTTTGAAGAGCACATGAAAGATGTCACACAGTGCTTGCCAGTTTTTTCCAGTTTAGTCCTGATTGTGAGGTAGCAGCTGACTTTACTGTGACAAAAAGCCACTGAAACCCCTAAATCTTCAACTTTTTACGCCAAAATTTATAAGCAGGACTTAATGCTTCAGTCCCTCTAGAAACATCTTTCATTTGGGGTTACAGGTTATTAGACAAGTAAGTTTTAGCCATTGTGTTCTGTGCTGGGAATCTGTACTGAATGGTAGCATGAATTAACATTTTCTGAATTAATATTATCTTACCCTACAGGTTTTAAAATATTGCTTGATGTACATGGAGTTATGCATGGACCAAAAGAAGAATGTGTCAGTGCTCTGAAGAAGGGCTGTCTGATAGCCATTGCCCCAGGTGGAGTTCGGGAAGCACTCTTCAGTGATGAAATGTATACTATTATCTGGGGTAATCGGAAGGGCTTTGCTCAGGTGGCCATTGATGCAAAAGTGGTAAGTATGACAGATCACAAAAGAGAAGCAAAGAATGCTAACTTATTAGTACTTTCTTCCAGGAAAAGCTGGTTTATTTATCATATAGTTGATGTTATATTGCTGAGTGTCATGGATATGGTCTACTTGCTCTCATAACTACATTTCAAGACTCTTTTTGTTGCTTTTGATAAGAAGGCTTTGGAGTCAACTAGGAATAGCGTGGTCAGGAAATCCAGAGTTTAAAAGAATGAGAGATGAAATCCAGGACAGTTTCTACATTACAAGCTTGTGCTGTTTTACCATACCTGGTCAGGATTGTGATAGCTCAACCCTGACCAGAATGGTTGGGAAGCAACCATGCATCAACATTTCTGTTTTCCCTACCACTGAAGTGTACTGTGACCCAGCACAGTATAGACTCTCTGGCATTATGTACTGTATTGGCATTCTGTGGTAGTAGGAGATGTCTAGGGCATACAGAGGCAGGAGGAGATGCTGCTCACTAGTGTGAACTGTCTCTTCAGGTCTAATATATAGCATTGTGCTTGATCAGCAGGCAGATAATTATTCATATGGGACCAACTGTGAAAGGCACATAAGTGTATGATATATTTGAATTGTAATTATTTTAATAATAATTTCAGAGTCCCTCTTGTTCTATATTTGTACTTGAAAGATCTGTGCATATGACCGTAGGTCTGCATATGCCTAATTTGAAAGTAAGTCTTACACCAAGAGTTTTATATTTAGGTACTGTCAAAGAGAGACTAGTTAAATCTCTGGATTTTATACAGAAATAGAATACTTTTAAGACCCAATTTTAAGTGTGCATAACTTTTTCTCAGAAGGAAAATAACACTGTTTAAACAGGATATTTTCAATAGACTTAGATTTTACTAATATATTGTAATAGCATATGAAAGGCCGTACTTGGGATTCAGCTATGGTTGTATTAGTTATATTTATTTTATTGAATTTGTGTTCAGTTCCCTTTATGCCCTCACAAAGGTCTTGCACCTTCATCCCCTCCCTAAAAAAATCCTGAGAGATGCAGCAGAATAGGAATAGTTTCAGAGGCAGGCTGAAAGTGGGGAAAATATCTTTATTTAGATTAAAAATGAACTTTAAGTCACCTTTAATTGTGAGCATAAGTCCTCATGGAAAGAAAAATGTGTCTAAAACATCAGAAAAATGTGTCTAAAACTGGGACCTTCAATTTCTTGAAGTTGTTTCATTTCAGCAGTTTGTTTGCAAGAATTTTTGTCATATAAACCAGCTTGGTACATACAAAAATCACTACCTCTGTGTCAAAAGTAAGATGTTCCAAATAAGATGGTTCTAGAATAAAGAAGTTTGTTACCATTCAGTTTAGGCAACTGCACTTCTTTTTATTCTCTATAGTTGGCATTGGATTATTTACAGACTTCCCCCCTCCTCCCCAAAAAACCCAACATGATACCTGTCTGAAAACTTTCATTTACTAGCTCATCTCCATGCTTGTTTAAAAAAGTTTGAAAGAATCTGAATGTTTGAAAATCACATAAAGAGTCTGTATTTCTGATGATGCTATGTACACTGAGTACATACTATAAAATGATATTAAAAAACTTCATGCAGTAATGGACCCCCCCGGTTCATGTAAATCTTGACAGCTGTTTTCAAGTTCAAAAACAGCAATAAAAACTTGAAATATTCAACACCATTCCAAATATTCATCAGCAGAAGTAAATCATGGACATGTACTGAATATGACATATCGTATGGGAAGCAATACAATCAGCATAGCAGAGATGAATCAGACAAGTTTGGGGTCCCAATCCTCTGAATTCTTCCCTTTGAGCATAACTACAAATTAAGCAACAGGTTTAACCACTTAAGTCACAACTGTGCAAACAGTGCTAGACGAGCAGATGCCTAAATGCTCCATAGGTTCTGAAAGTCTGGGCTGCTTTGAGAAAATGGACTTGCTGAAACAGTGACTCACTGAAATCTCATGGTATTCTCCAACTTGAAACCTCATGGCAGATGGTCGCAGAAGAACTTTGTTTTGGTCTCTCTGTGTCCTTGTCTGAGAAACACTTCTGAAATTAATTTGCTTGTTGGATTTAAGTGAGGTAGAAGTTTTTAGATAGTGCTATCTTCATTAAATTCTTAATTATTTTTTTTCCCTCCTAGCCCATCATTCCTATGTTTACACAAAATGTTCGAGAAGGCGTTAGGACATTAGGAGGAATAAGTAAGATATTTTCTATTTTTTTGTAGTTTATTTTTCCATATGTGTTTAGCCTATCTCTGTAGAAATAATCCCCATATAAATTTGAGATTTAAACCAGCCTTGTTTCTGGAGGTTTGCTCTCCAGTAGAGTTCAGAGATGTTATTAGGATTTAATATTAGCACTAGATGTGGTATTGGCTCATCTAAGTTACTCTCCACGTAACAGTATGCCTTCACAGAAGCAGTAGAAGAAAGGAAAAAGCCAGAAAAAGGCAAATAGTTTTAGAGCACTTTTTTTCTCTGCTTATATCTGCTAGGCCAGCTCTAGGTTTTCTGCTGTCTGTTAAGAAGCAAAGCAAACAGGGGTTTGCAACTAACATGTACTTTCTTTAAATGTTCTCTTAAAGCTCTCTGCTTACACCTCTACCTGTACCTAAACTTCAGATGGTTTGAAATATATTTAATCTGTAGTTGGTTTACTGTTCAGCACTAAACCTGTGGTTCCTCACAAAACTTTGTATTTGCCTGCTCTCTTTCCTCACCTCTATGGGGACTTCGAGCCAGCACATGAATAGATGGGTATATGGCTGAAGGGTCCACCTCTGGGATGATTAGATGCCCACATCTCTGCTGATCTGCTAGTGTCAACACCCCTTTTTTCGTATTTTCCAACTTACCATCTAGCAGGAAGGGCCTGAACAGTCTCCTCCATGCCACATGTTCTGCCTCAAGTATGGCATCATCATCTTCATCAGAGGACTGCAGGGCAAAACAATTCTGTTTCTCTCCCCCTCTAATTAAAAGCTATATATTACATGGAGAAAGCCAAGGCATCTGATGTAGATGTGCAGAATAATTCACACTTTCGTTAGGTTGTACAAAAATAAACAGCAATTAATTGTTGGCTGTGTTCAGGAGAATCCTCCCAAACAAGCAGAAATTTAAGCCAAAATCATTCATGCTACTTATATTCTACAGCAGGGGTGCTAGAGGAAGTGGATTCTGTTGATCACTGGAGGCATTACTCCAGTTTCAATAGTTTTGGAATATTCTTTGTTCTTATAGGTTGCATACAGAAAATTCCACATCTTGGTCAGTAAGGATTTTCTTATGCCAACACCTCAGTTAAAGGAATTTCTTGTCTAAAATTGAGAGAGAGAGTATTAGCACCCATTCTGCGAGGAAGCTGTTCTGGTTACATTTGGGCTAGATGCTTAGAAGGTGGCATGTGGGGTAGAAGATGTGTCTCCTTAGAGCGGATATAGAAATACCTGTTTTTTCTCTCTTTTTATATTATTTCACTGCAACCAGTGTGTGATCTGAAAGGGCAATTCAGCATTTTAGCATGACTGGCCTTTAGACAGATAAGACAATTTCTGATCCTCTAGACCTCAGTGGGACTGAACAGAACAGTCTTCCAATACTAGTTTCTTATGCTAACCTGTAAAATTAGGTGAACCGTAACCTGTATTGTGTAGCATTCCCTTCTTTTCCAGAGAGGCAGCTACTGGATTTTTCTCCTCTTCTTCCTTCTCTTTGCAGCTACTCTTTGAAGGAGAGATATCTTGCGAAGTTAGGGTGGAAACAAGTCTGACATTAGCATTAACGCAGCTTTTTGGAAATGACAGTCAAGGGTAGAATAGCACTTGAGATGACACATTGTTTGAGAATCTGGGTCAGGGGCTGGATTACTTGACAAGCCGGTTTTAAGACATACTGGGAAAAAACCTACAGAATAATCTCAGTCTGTCTGTCTGTTTGTCTCCCCCTCCCCGTCTCCACCCCTCTCCCTTCTTCTTCTCCTGCTTTCTCCCTTCCCCCTGAATTTTTTCACATTAGAAATATTTAGGTCACTATATGAACGTATTAGATTGCCACTAGTTCCTGTGTACGGTGGGTTTCCAGTCAAGCTTCGTACATTTATCGGAGAACCCATTCCATATGAACCAAATATAACTGCTGAGGAACTAACTGCAAAGGTAAGACAGATATGCATATATATATTTAAAATATTGACTGTTCTGGTAGAAAACACTGGAATACTCTTGTCAAGATAGTGATTTCTGCCTTGGAGCTAGATATAGAAGTTGGTGGAATCATGGTAAGCTTTGGACTTGCTTAACGCTGAAGGTCCTTCTTAAACACTATCTTTTTATTACTATACCTTGCAGATGTTCTAGGCCTTTTGAAGTCAATACTGTACTTTGTATTTGCTTTGAGAAACAACTTGCTTTAGGGACTGAAGTTCAGTCAGATAAGACTGCTCTGAGTTGAGAAAGTCATAAGTACTTCACCCAGAGAAAGTGTTCCGTTTTTGGCCTTTTCAGAAAGGTACTAATGAAACCTCTCAAATATAGCAAATCTGTGGCCACAAACTGTTTCAATTCCATACAATAAAAAAATTTAAGGTAAATCATTTCACTGCTTTGTTGAGTGTGTTTCAGTTTATATTTCCTCCAACTTCCTGCCCAACAAATTAACTTTTGAACATTCCCCTGGTTCAGATTTAGGTGGTTTATAAAAAGGATTGTCAGGTTCTTATGTTCATTCATTTTATTAATAGGCTTCACACTACAGAAGCGTAAAACCTAAGTGATGGAGCAGTCGGAGGGGGCTGAAATAGCCATTTTTGGAAGCTCCACAGATGGTCACTTCTAGCATTCTGAGACTCTCACACTCTCTTCACTTGAGAGAAAGAGATTTTTCTTCTTGACCATGCAGGTGTCAGTTCAGTTGTCTCTCCTGTTTACCCTCTGATTAGATCTCTGCAAAATGACATCTTAACATGTTTATCTGCATTATCTTATGCCCTGGTTATGGAAAACTGATTCTTTCTTTTGGGGGTTCAGTCTGACAGGAGTTTAGAACTGTTGGCTTTCAGGAGAGAATGTGTGTTTAAGTGACTTTCAAACATGCTTTGGCATCTTCTGTTTGTGCCAACCCTCATTTGCTTCTGAATCAAGTGCAAATTCTGCTAGATAAGGGCCCTAGAATGTGAATCCCCTAGGATCCTAGTTACAGTGATTTTAAAATTGTATTTCATGTTTCAGGCTGTGGCACAGTATGCATTTTCCCGTTATATATAGAAAAAATTAAGCTCAAATTATTTGCCTAATAGAAATTTTAGATTTGCAGAGACACTTAGGACCATCTCTATAAAGAGATGTGGGCAGGAACCTTCTCCCAGGACTTAACAGTTGATCACATACTTCATGTAAACAGTGGGAGCTTGTACCAAGAATCAGTTTTCCCCTTGCTGACCACTGGTTTACAAAGGCAAATAGTTCTCCATTCTGTCTCTGACCTTAAGAATTCAGTAGTCTGTGCTTCACTAGGCAGAACAGGAAGGTTACAGCATGTCCTCACCATAGCTTTTGCATACTGCCCTGGTTTTGAATGTTCCTCATAGAACTTTTATATGGTACGAATGGCTGCTATTAACTTTTTGGCCTGCTATGTTTTTGAGTGAAAGTGAATGCTGCTGTCCTGTGCAGTATTTTAGGTGTGGTCCAAGTGTGCTTTACAGGACCAGCTCCTTTAGGGGACTTGGGTGCAGGGATAATTCCTTTGTACAAGCCAAATGTGCTGACACACAGCTGTGTTTCCAGTGCTGCTTCTGAGCATGTGTAGAAGCAAAGTTCCCACATACTGGAAGAGTGTTACTGATGCAAACCAGGGCATAGGCAGAAGTTTCTGAATTGCCGTACAGCACACAGGCACTGACATGCTTTATAGATCTAGGTGTCTTCATTAATTTACTCCATCATCATTTTAGTATTGCATATCACTAATAGAGCTTGTGAACACAGCTACCAGAGATAAATATACTAGTTTGTTGATCTGTTTCTTGGCAGTGATCTCACAAACACAGCCTGTGGGCTTAAATATGGAAAAATAGTATTTTGAACTTGCAGTAGTTCTGTGACATCTGAAAGGATGAAGAGAGCCTAGAAATTGTGTTAATGTATGAACAATATAAAGATGACTTAATCTGACCAAAACCGTTTCTCTTTCCTTACAGACAAAAGCAGCACTCCAAGCTCTAATAGAAAAACATCAGAAAATACCAGGAAATATATTTAGGGCTTTAATGGAACGATTTCAAACACAAAAGAAGGAAGATTAAGGTCTTCCGAATAAAATACTATTTAGTTATAGTAACTTATTCATTCTTCTAATAATAGATTTTAAATACTGTCCTTATGATACTGCTGTATAATTTAAGATATAAGACACTTTCCCTTGCCCTTCCCCCTGTCCAGTATCAAGCTCAGGAACCCAAACTTCAAATCATTCGTAATGGGACAAAGCTTAGTCTTTGATAAATGCATTCCTATCTTGAAAACGTTTTTTTCCAAAATGACACTGGAAGTCTTTATGTACATTGTCACTTGTCTTTTTTCTTTTGTGGTTTTTTTTCTCCCCGCCTATGGTTGCTCTTTAACCTGAATGTTAGACCTGCTGTAGAGCTAGGGTCTTACTGTCTTGATCATCATCACTGTAACTAGGTTTTGCAGGCCAGATTAATGCCATGCAGCATTTATGAAAACTTTCTTTAGGTCATTACTCTTGTGTTGCTGGAAAACAGTCAACCTTTTGTGGCTTGCAGAACCTCTAGCTATGCCTGCAAAACCTATGGTGGAAAGTGGTTAGTTTTACTGGGTGAACTCAGAAAGAGTTTGGAGGAGTGAAAATTGATTAGAGAACTGCAGTGAACCAAGGAAGTTTGTTACGGAAACTACTCTGATGCTGTGAATGAGAACCCTATGGCACAGCTGCTATTCCAAGCTGAGCCATATTGGATATCTGCCCTTGAGTAGAGAGTTGTTGCGTATACTTCTCAATGAACCTGCAAATTCTCCTTTGAAAGAATGAGCCAAGCATTTAAACTTTAAGAAGTGGAAATGAGAGTACTGTTGAGTAACATAAGCTCATAAAGCTTTATTTTGAAGGAAAGAAAATATTAGTACAACGCTTCTTTTAAAAGTAGTAGTTCTTTTGAAAAACAGGATAGACATTCCCAAATACCCTTTAAATCTAGTGTATTTGTAAACTGTTAAACATCCATATTCTTCACAGTTATTTACATAAGTTATTAAATCAGGGTTGGGAGGGAAATCGTATACACTTTCCTTAAGTGAAAACAATTGAATGAACAGGAAAGTTGCAGGATTGGGCTTTTGTGCACTTACAGTAAACTATATTATTATATTTTTTCTGAACTAAAGCCTACGCTTTTATTGTTCAAATAGGAAATATCTGAAATATTTCTTCTGATTCCCAGCAAGTTTAAGCTACAGTTCTTAAATTAGCATCTGGGAACTCCTTAGTTTTGGGATAGAGGACAAATTCCTCAAGGAAAGACAAAAGAGGATTTTGCTATATTATGTGGTTTCCTTTCAGTATTGTTGGGGTTTGACCTTTTCTTAAAACAAAAACAAAACAAAAACCAAAAAAACCAAAAAACAAACCCCAACTTTTGAAAGAGCAATTGAATTCAATTTGGTATCCATTCCTCCCACCATTTAAGCACATGCTTTGCTTTATACTCTCATAAATGTGTAAATTAGTGAGATTACATAAATGCATGTGGATGATGCCCTATGTTAGAAAAATATGACTTTATGGGAAAGTCTATAAACTATGGTTTACAAAAAGCAAAGAGCTTACTTATTTTATGATGTTATTTTACATCGAAAGCATTTTATGTGGTATTGAATTAAATTTTTTAAAGTTTGGGAAAGAATCACATTATGTAAAAGCAAATGCCCATTCTGAAGTTTTTTAAATGACTTGGCTTTTATTTGAAGGCAAGATTGTGTTCTTTTTAATTTATCTGAATGTTTTTAAAAAAATATTATGTTAACACAGTATGTCATTAAAAGTGATAATGCAAATTCCTACATTGGAGTATAACTTAAGTATGACTTTGTTTTTACTGTCCATCTTGAGGAAAATGTAATCAGTCTATATTGTGAAATTCTGAAAGGCAGCTGCACGTATTTCGTGTTAAGGTTGCGTATATGTAAAAGAAAACTCAGTCTAAAAGGTTCTGTTAGACATGAACAGACATTTGTGAACTGAGATTTTGTAAAATTTATTTTACTAAATATGTGGGCTGTTTGATGCAGTTTTGTCCTTTTAAGTATTGAAAGATGTGTATAAAAAATGAAGGGCAGTATTGGTACTCTAAGTGTTCATATTTGTATAGGCCTTTCATATTTATTTCTCTATATAAAAAATGTATAGAAGACACCTTTCGAATAAAATTGATAACTGGAACAGGCTTCTGAAGTTTTGTGTTGTGTTTGAACTAAATGAAATTATACATGGCCTGCCCTGCTGAACCCTGAGTGGTTTTGAATGGCGTGTAATACCCTTCAGAAGCTCTTCTTGCCTAGTGTCTGAATAGGGGTGGAAGGATCAAAGCCCCAGAAGGAATGAATTAAAGGGTAAATAATTCAGACAACAGTGGAATAAAGGACAAAAGTCACATGAACAATAAGGTCTGACTTTTAATAGTTGTTATTAGTGCTGGAAGAGGCCTTAACAGGCACTGCAATACCACTTTAGTTACATTTAAGCTTCCACAACAGAAAATATGTTCTAAATACTGACTAGTAAGGTTTATTTATACATACTTGGTGTGTAAATGATTGCCTACTTTATTTCATTGAAAAAGGGGGCAGACCTGCAGAGAGACTCTTACAAGGAAGGTAATAGACATGGCTTAATTTTAGCTGATTTGGTTTACTGTGCATCAGGCAGAAGTATTTAAAGGAGATTTTAGCAGCACTAGACTAGACTGCTGATTGCCTGGTTAGTCTCTGGAAATGCTGAAGATGTTCCAGGTTTCTCCATGTGAACAGCATAACCAGAATATGCATTTTCAGGTTGTTTGGAAGTAGAAATAGACTGACTGCTGTACTGACAGGTATTTGTCGTTATCTCTCAGCAAGACCCAAATCTCCTACTGGCCAATTTACTGTCCTGTTGTGTAATAGCAGAGCTCAGTCTGAACATCTATTATTAGGAAGCTTTCGTATGAAATTAATCACTGTAAATGCAAGGTAGAGCACTTAATCAGCATTGTCAACACAACTGTGTGGTTCATCCGGTATTGGATTTGCTGTACAAGTATACCATTATGTTGCTTCATCCTTTTACTCTGTAGAGAAAGATACAGCTATGGTGACAATGGGTTAGCTCTACAGTGCTTAATACCTATTAAGCCCGTCATAGATGAAAGACTGCTTTTTTTCCATGTTATTTTTGCACAAAAAAAATTACCGCACCAAAAGTAAACGTGGCAGTGTGTGGAATTGCTACATGAGTGTAGTAGCCCAGAAAATACATGTTAAGTAAGATAATCCTCCAAAACATGTCTGCTGAAACTCCATGAGACAATCTGATCACTTACTTTCTCAGTTCTATTCACTTCATGCCTATGAAAGTCCTTGCTAGCAACAAAGATAATGGGTTTCTACGGTACAGATCAATGATGCTAATGCCTTTTTGTATATATATTTTTTTTAATTCAGAACTAGCCAAAATGAATGGTAGTCTCAACACAAATTATGAAGATGATCAGAGGGCTGGGGCACCTTGCCTATGAAGGCAGGCTGAGAGAGTTGGGGTTGTTCAGCCTGGAGAAGAGAAGGTTCTGCGGAGACCTTATGGCAGCCTTCCAGCATATAAAGGGGCCTACAAGAAAGCTGGAGAGGGACTTTCTGCAAGGGCATGTAGTGATAGGACAAGGGGTAATGGCTTTAGACAGAAAGAGGGGAGATTTAGATTAGATGTAAGGAAAAAATTCTTTACTGTGAGGGGGGTGAGGTACTGGAACAGGTTGTCCAGAGAGGTTGTGGATGCCCCATCCCTGGAATTGTCAACCTGGTCTAGTGGAAGGTGTCCCTGCCCATGACAGGGGGGTTAGAACTAGAGGATCTTTAAGGTCCCTTCCAACCCAAACCATTCTATGATACTTTTCTCATCATGGGTTATTTGCAGTATTTGCTTCTCTGCTTTTTTTGAGTAATTTTGTTTTGCACTGTCGGTTGCAAATTTACCACTTACTACCCTGAATATTGCCAGAGCATGCACTGAATGCATACCATATGTTGCTTCCTGAAACATTTTAAAATGGTTATAATGATCTCTTCATGTCAGAAAATTGGTCACAAAAGTGTAATAAACTTTTGAACTGTAGGGAGAATGTTTTTAAGAAGTGTTTGCTCACACTTCTCTCTTTTGTGTGTATGCGTGTGTGTGTGTGTTTGTCTGAAACATTACGAGACGGTAAGATGCCATTTGGAATTAACGTCAGGCTGCATATATAAGGCAGACACAGTATTTTTTTCCCCACCATGGAGGTGAGTTGGCTGTTGTCGAGCAGATCCCATTCCACCAGGCCTTGTGCTGCAGCCATCATATGAGTGAAAGCCCACCACTCCCTGCTGTCCATGCTAGTTACGATAACAGGAGAGCACAGCACAATTCTTCAAATCAGCTTTGGCTCCTGTTTTCTGGCTAAAACCACTGCATGCTCTGGGAACATGAGATGCCAAAGTTCTAACAGAGTGCAGAAGGGAGTATTGGATTATTCAGAGAAGATCTTAAAAAAAAAAAAAAGGCAAGAAATGGAACCATTTTTACCTAATTCTTTTTAATGGGAAACAGAATGTGCCAAACATCAGAGAGGGTAGGAATTTACAATTTTGTGTCATCTTTACAGGGAATTTGTGGCAGATGAATTGGGATGAGTCCTGGTGCAGTTGTGGCTGATCTTCATATATTCCAGACTGGGGATTGCTTTTCTTTTTCTTCCAATAGTGTTTTCTTATGGTCAGGTCTATGCTGTGCTCAGAGCAGCTCCAGTCTTCTTTCAGTTACTTCTTAAGTGGGAACAGAAATGGAGACCCTAGTGAACATTTGTTAGTTCTCTTTTTGATCTATTTGAAGCCTACCAAAGGTACCTAGAAACATTTCTGAGCTCCTATTTCAACTGCTGTGATGGAGCTGCCAGCTCTCCAGACACTTCTTTAATGATCAGATTTCTCCTTACCATATAAAACCCACTCTCCTGACAGATCCACCAAAGCTTTTGAAGTGTCCTGTCCATTCAGAAATGGATTAATTTTCTTTTGCCCATCCTTCAGTAGATTACTTTTCTTAACTAGTGGGCGCAGCAGTTGCAGGCTTGCTCGGTTAATGTTTTTTCCTATAGATTTCCACATTCCAGACAGACATTCCCCATTCCAGGTATGTTGATAGTGCTTTGTGAGAACAAGCTTGCAGAAGACTGCAACTTGGCTCAGTCCGTCAAGGTGTTAATGAAAATATAAACCAAGCCCCACAAGTGAAACAAGCACACCCAAACCC